AGCATTTAGATGTATTTACACAGTTTATGTATCTCAGAGGGGACATGGATGCGTTTAAACTGCAGTTACAGATGCATAAATAGGCCTAATGTTTTGTGTTTTTACATTGTACTTATATTTTAAAAATGCCTGCATGTAATTACATCTGTAATTACACTGTTGACCCATCCCTTACACCTTAACCCACCCTTAAACCTACACATACCACCAAACCTGTCCCTAACCTTACCCGTATCCCACCTCAATAGCAGCAAAAGTGTTTTGCAATACAATATGAACACAATAAGAACAGTCATGGCCAAAGTTTTTGTTTTGCCAAGTTTGCTGCTTCAGTATTTGTAGATCATTTTTCCACATGTTTCTATGGTATACTGAAAAACAATGATAAGCATATCATATGTTTTAAAGGCTTTTATTGGCAATATTTACAGTGTTGACCCTTGTTCTTCATTACCTCTGCAATTCGCTCTGGCATGCTGGATATTAGCTTCTGGGCCAAACAAAAGTCTTGGCCTCACTGTATGTGCAGATGCTCTCACACAAACCTTCTGCCATTCCTGAGCAAGCTCTGCACTGGTGGTGACACGATTCCGTAGCTGACTCCTCAGGAGGATACAATGATAGGAAGCGCTTCTTCTCTCCTTTTATAGCAATCAGTCTGCTCTTACAATCTATTTAGTATGATAGTGATTTCCCCTGACTAGTACTCATTCACACTTTCACATGTGCTGCTGATATGATTAGTCAATTAATGTTAGCTGGTCATTTTGTGTCAGGATCAAAAAACAGTGAAATTCGTTTTTTTTTGTGAAAAGTTCATTTTTTGGCCAATGAAGCTTTTAGCAATTATTTAAAATGCATCTGATCACTCTACACAATAATCTAGAAACAATGTGAATGAACACCACAACAGCTGAAGCTGCAAACTTAGCAAAACACAAAATTTATGTCACTGCCAAAACCTTTTGGCCATGACTGTACATTGTACTTATTTTTGATGTAAGTACATAGTAGTTAAGGCCACTTAATATAAAGTGGGACCAAAAAATCAATTCAGTTATGCAAACTAGTGCTTGAAATAAGACAAATCACATTTTAGCATTCAAATTTCACAATTACATCATTGCAGCCAGTAACAATTTCAATGCTGAACAATTGTAGACTTTCAAGAATAAAATTAACACAAAACCAAAACAGATAGCACACATAAGGCTATAATTTAGGCTGAATAAAATGCAGAATTGTAATACGTAAAATTAAGTAATACAATTATTTAAAACAATATAAATGCTGGAGATTTTAAAACAGAACAATCTTAAACGTCAATGTTTGTCAAGTATTCTACATCATTATAAAACAAATTCCACTTCCAGTGTGCATCTAAATCATTTTTCATCCTTGAGATGGTTCTGTTCATCCAAATACACCATGCAACCAGTGTCATCGAACGTTTCATGCAATAACTGGAAATACTTTGTAACAATAACATTTTATCCATATTTAGCATCTGCTTAAAAACAGCGATGTCAACTTCCTCCGCTTTCATCTTTGGCATTATGTGACACTAGCAGAAAAAAAACAAGTCACACACACTAAGAAATATCTCACTAGCACAAAAAAAAACTCCTCAGTATGAACGCATTTCTTGTATAATAATATAATAATATAATTGAGAATAATATTAGTGTGAATTAAAACTGATTACAGTAACAGAGGAAGCACAAATAATAATCAGTGTGAAAGTGTTGTGTAACAGGTTGAAACTCCACTGTAGATCTCATTACATTATATGAGAGAATAAACATCAAGCTCTTTTATTAAAAAACCTGGATGCCAGTTACTCCTTACAGATCAAAACAGAGTGGAGGGAATCTTGTCATTTCACCTTAAAACTGCTTCTAATGTGCTTCTTAAAAGAGAAATTTACTGAAAATGTTTGAGCGTTGTAATATGTTTTAACAATCTCCTGTTTCCCCAAATAATGTGAAATAATGGGATTTCTTTGACCAATATCCAAAGATGTGTCCTGATCTTTATTAATGCACAGAAATCTAATAAAAAAAACACTGCAGTCAAGCATGCAGCAGCAGCTGAAAGGGGATTCTGGGTGGTCTGATACTCACTGGTGGTCATCTTCTCTGTAGGGCATGCCGGAATACCATGGCTGATGGCCCACTGTTCTGCTCCTTTGCCCACTAAAAAACTGACAAAGTAGAGATGTGACTTATTTCCTATAGCTAACAGAATACACTTGCAACATTTGTCAGAATGCCAGAATGTTTGTCATGCACTAAGTTTGTTCAGTTTTGCTGCATTACATTCATGTATAATAGTGTATTCTGTGTATACTGCAATTGAGATGTTACTTGTTTTACAAATGTTTTTCCCCTTAGGCATCAATATAGTATGTCAGTCCATCTATATGCAACCCTCTACATTGCGAGTAAATCACTCGCAAATGCGACTAAATCTTACTCTGGGCAACTAAATAATGTCTAACATTAGCCATTGGCTAATAAATTCTTAGATTTTACTCGCCAGTATGGTGTGTGTGTGTGTGTGTGTGTGTGTGTGTGTGTGTGTGTGTAAAATAGTATATCAGTCTGGTGAGTAAACAAAAAAATTTACTAGCCAATGGCGATTATATTGCCAAGGTGTGCGTAGAGGGTTGATATGTCTAAGCTGATAGCTAGAAAGCCAACATCAGAGAGCTTGGCTCACCAGGGAGGGATCCTGCCAGCTGAAAGCTTCCCCTTCTGAGTTTCACTTAATAGTCTTCTGGCTACCAGCACTGGGTTCTTGATTCCTGATAGAAAGTGCAGCATTAGTATCACTTTTACTCAAGACAGCTTTGAATACAGTATAAGAAACCATTTGGCTTTTTCATGCACTTCTGATGAAGGATAATGCAGTTCACTGGAGTTCACTGCAGTACATTTATCATCTAAAGTAAAAAATAAAAGACAACCTGTCTTTTAGCCTTGCATTTTTGTATTTTTGCATGCACAAAATGCATTTAGCCACATTCTCATAAAACACTGAGGGAGGGTAGAAGTTGGCCTTTATTTGTTTTGCCTGAAATTCGAATAGCACCTTCACCACATGATAAAAGGCTCCAACCATCTTCGCCAAAATTTCTAAGAGCACTCACCACTCAGGGCTCCAACAGCTCCGTAGTTTAAGGACTTCCCATCCATGATGCTGGCATCACACTCAATCTCACCGGAGAGGTTCAGGTTGGAACCGGTACCCGCATTGGTGAACGGGGAGTCCTGTAAATAAGCATCAACCTTAAAGACAAATTTCTGTGAGCTCAACAAAAAGAGAAACAAAAAATTGGTGTTAAAGAATAGTCTTAATATATATATATATATATATGTGTGTGGTTTTTTTTTTTGGGGGGGTTGAAGAACTAAAATGACTCATACAGAAATGAAAATAAAGCTATACAGAGAATACAAAAAATTACAAAAGGACATAAAATCATTAAAACTAAGCTCAAATTTAAAAAGTGAAAATATAAAAATAAAAGCTAATTCAAAATATTAAAACTATTTTTTGTAGACTGTTGAATTTGACTTCCTTGCCATCCCATTAATATCTGATATGTTTTCTATATATTTTCTTTCTGAGAGTCTCTATGCAGTCATAACCAGAGTTGGTGTGTGGTTGTTGTGATCCACTATCACCTCTAGCTCGATAAGAGCTGCTGTCACGGCCTCCAGCGCCATTCCTCCAGCTCTGAGCCTGTGCACAGCCTGAAACACATTAAATCACAACTGATGACAGCAACCCCACTTCTGCCAATGCGTAAAAAAAACTCAATGTGCATTCAGTGTTTATTTTTGTTCTACTTAGGATTCAGGATCTTTATGCAGAAAAGATACACTAAAATAATCTAGACAAAACTGAAAAAAAAAATGTGATAATCCAATACAAAGAGCTTAAAAAGAAAATAAAGCTGCAGTGTTTTCCACTTGACAAGCCTCAAGCAGACAGCGTGGAACGGTATATTAAGCTGGGCAGCAGCTCGGGCTGCTGCTGGTGTCATGTTATCAACACATAACTCAAATTCCCTGGCACAGGTGTTTTACTCGAGTCTGATCCCTTCTTTTCATCCTTTACACAGCAATTTGGATAGGGAAAAGCACTGCATTGCAACTTGCCAACCTATGCATTACAGCTATTACAATTTTGTTAGCATATCTTTTTGTATTTTTGTATTCTGGCAATGAAAGAACAGTCTGCAAAAAAGAATCAATCTTAGGTTCAAAAACATTACATAATTCACACCAAAACAACTTGCAAACTGAGCTGGGAATGAAAACTGATTATATAATTGAATTGACGTCTTGTCTATGTGACCTCTGACAGAGCTATCCAAAGGTTACAGTTGACAGCAGAAGAATCTTAAGTTATGAATGAAGAATCACATGCAACTCACTCTCTGGCAAGCTCTCTTGCACACATGTTTGTATTCCTTGGCTTTGGATTCTGAATGATACCCTGCCCCTGAGGAGGTAAATATCATCAAAAATAAAATAGATGCATTCAGTTAGTTTCTTACAATGAGTCTGCAGTTTTTGCTTGTCTTACGAAAACCTTTTTATAAGCCATTTTCTTACAGTTAAAGTGAGTTTCATAAATGAAATGTCTTTATGATCCATGAATGGAAATTTCCCTTTAAAGATTAAAAAAGTTTGCCAGAAAAGTTTAGTGTCATTATTTATATATATATATATATATATATATATATATATACACACATTTGTTATTTTTCTGTTATTTTTCATACGATGACAGTTCATTGTAGTAACCATATGTCAAGTTGTAGAAAGTACAAAAACACCAGAAAAAAGTACCATACATGTAGACTTATACTTCAAGTCTTCAGAAGCTATACAATAGGTCTGAAATTTAAGGCCGTTATTGACAGAAAATATTCAAAGCTCTCAAATTTCATTCATCAGGATTGACGTCCTTAATGTCAAAGGCCAATGTTTCTCATGTATGTTGTTGAATATGCAGAATGAAGAATGACATTTGAGAGCAGAAGCAGATGGGGAAATTATCAGCAAATAAGAACTTAAATTACAGCCTGTTAGGCTTTTGTATGGCTTCAGAAGAATTGAAATACAGGGCACAAGTCATATGGACTTTCATTGTACTTATTCAATATATTTTGGTCCCTTTTAATGCTTGATAAACATTGTAAAGTGTTGTTATATGCAATTCTTGTGTCCCAAACATAACTACAAACTGGTTTGGAATGACATGCGGGTGAGTAAACAATTACATGATTTTATTTTTCAGTGACCTAAGGAAATCTTCATATTTAAAACATGAATCAATCAATCAACTTAAACTGCCCCTATTATGCCATTTCCAATATTGCCTTTCATGCAGTGTGTAAAGTAGCTGTATGTGAATATAAACGATCTGCAAAGTTGTAAAGCTGAAAGTGCACGATAAATAAAGTTATTGTCTCCCAAAATAAAGAATCGACTCTGAACAGCTGAAACAAGTCATTAGTAATTCGAATCCCACTTCCGTGACGGCTACACGTCACGGGGTAACACATTTGCATAATGCGCACCTATGTTCTACATGTTGGCCGGCCGCGAACTTGACCCCGCCCACAAACACGTCATTCTACTGACGACTGCTTCTCTAATCTCGGGGAGTTCAACGGATTCACAAAACCCTTGCTGTTGAAAGATGGATCAGTATCCTGTTTATTTGGACCAGCTGCTCCACTGAATCACAACCTGTAAGTATGATAAATAATAGACCTTTATACTTTCTATAGAGCGTTCAAAATACAGAACTGTTGAAATAGGCGTATCGTTTCCGACACGCGCTACACGCCGTAGACCAATCACAACAGACTAGGCCATCTGACTAATCAGAGCAGAGCAGGCTCACGGAAAGGAGGGGTTTAGAGAGACTGAATCTTTTAACTGCTTCGCACGAATCGTTTGAGAATCGCTGGAAAATGAGGTGATATTAAATGCATATTTTGAGAAAACGAAAGCGTTTTTTGACCTTGCATGCATGTAATCCTATTGTAGGAGACTCCAAAAACAATATTAGGAACCATAAAAATGGCATAATAGGGGCACTTTAAATTAGACCATTACTCAATCAACTAAATCTGTTCCAAAACACGTTTATGCAGAAATGGATTATGGTAAAGTGTTTTTTCATCATTTACTAAGGGACAAAATTTCACCTGCATGCACCAGCACAAACCCCATAGCTTCGCCATCACGACGGGAGACGGTGCTGTTCAGTAAAGACCCTGAATTGTTTAGTGGAGACACAGTCTCCTTGCAATCTGTCGAGTTTTCTAGATTTTCCATGACCCGTATTCAGTGTAACTTGCATTTTGACCCATCATTCACTCATAACTCCGAAACATTTCTCCAAGTCCTGAAAGCCAAGAAAGAAAGCGAGTGTCATGTTAAAGTGAGTTATCATACCTTCAGAATTCACCGTAAAGAGAGTGAGTTATTATAACTTCAGAATTCAACTTACATGTAAAGGCAATTATATCTAGCTCAAATTATTAATATTGACACATTTTGACAGTTACAACAATTACAGATTCCTTGTATTTTAATGCATCCCTTTACATCTCTCACTTTGAAAAGTAATACTCAGATCAGAAACATGCTTTAAGAAACATAATTAACCAAGTAACTAACTATTCGCATAAAAATTCCGTTAATGCTCTTTTTACATGCATCAACAACTGACAATTTCAGTCCTAAATACAGATGAAATAAAGATTGCAAAACTCACTCGAGTGAAGACTTCAGGTGCAGAGCGCACGTCTCCACAATCATACGCATGGCTCAGCATCTCTACTGATAACACACACATGCAGATTGCACTGAATTATGAGTGTAGTTGTGTGTCTGCTGCATGATTGTGATATGATGTGATAATAAGCGGCGCATGTGCTCGCGTCACATCAAAACACTTCCTGGTTCAGTAACACATGTGACCGTGTGACTGCAGCAGCGGCCCCCAGCGGCAGAGCCATGCACTGCGTCTCATCAACGCATCAACTCATCAAACAAAAATGCCTGTGAAAAGCGCAGGTGCTCTCTCTTCATTCAAGTCAAAACTGCTGAAAAATTCAGCAAAAATGAAAATTCTGTCATCATTTACTCACTCTCAAGTTGTTTTAAACCTGAATGAGTTTCTTTCTTCTGTTAAACATAAAAGTTATTTTGAAGAATGTAGGTAAGCAAACAGTTGCTGGTCCCCAGTGACTCACTTACATATATTTTTTTTCATACTATCAAAGTCAGTGTGGACCAGAAACTATTTGGTTACCCAAAATATCTTCTTTTGCGTTCAGTGTGTGCGCTTCAGGTGTACGCGCTCAGAAAAAGCGCATGTTAGAACAGCACGCGAATGAAATGTTTAACCGGCCAGGCTTTAAAGCACATTTAAATAATGCAGTTCTTGCATATCACATACTCTTTGTCGATTATTATTTTACTCACACTGTCCACCATCCCATTAAAAACCTTAGACTAGTTAACAGGGGCGGCGCTAGGGGTGGGCTAAAGGGGCTGAAGCCTTTTTATTACCATAACTTGTGCTCATCTAGATTGAGTTTTCATGCGCATTAAAATCAATTCTATTAAACCAGCACTTAAACAGCTAAATCCAGCTGCTTCAGGCATCTACTGTAGCCTATAAATTCATAATACCGATCTCACCATCTGCTAAACTTAGATTATTGTTACTGTATAGCAACAAATAGCCTATAGATTTTTAATCATGGTATTATATGCGCAGACTTTCTAGGACACACACCACACGCATTTAGACCTATTATATAAACAGACTGGATAGCATTTAGCATAGTCTGTGGCAGACCCAGAGAGCAAAATACACTCGGGCCAGTTCCGGTTAGATTGGCAGAGCTCGGGCCGATTACTACATGCTATCTGGGCACTTTACTAAGTGTCAGGGCAACAAAATTTAATAAACAAGAAGATAATATTAAGTGATTTCATTTGTAGAGAAAATATTGTCTTTTTGCTTTATTTTGCAAAAATGGTTCTAAACAAAGCCATGTTGTGCATCTCTGCACACAGCAGTGTTTCCTTACTGAATGGATTTAGCTTTTTTAGAATGTGTCAGTGATTCACTTACCCATTCATTAAAAAAAAACAGTTTCTTACTTTGTTCCTGAATGAATCAGCCGTTTTGAACGAATCGATTTAATAAATGAGTCAACGACTCAGTCATTAAGACAGTGGCTTGCTGCCACCTACTTAATTTTAGTACCTAATTTTAATCTCATTTTTTAAAAGTATCATTCTATTTTTTTATTATTAATTAAATATCATTTAATTAGGGCTGTGCAAAAAATCTAATGCGATTTTCATGCGCATCTCGTCAGTAAAGCCGCTTCTGGTGATTAGTAGTAAATCTCCAGCACATGCTTTCAGATGGAGCGGCATTTACTACACAGAGCTGTAGTTCACTGACAAGCTACACAAAATTGCGTTCAAAATCGGCAATGAATCGCCTGCGATTTTGAATGCGATTTTGTGTAGCTTGTCAGTAGGCCTTATCAGCCAGGTGGACAGTTAGGTCCAATCCCAATTCCACCCCTTAGCCCTTCCCCTTTCGCGCGTTCATGTGAAGGAGTAGAAGTGTCTCAATACGCTTTTGGTTGGAGGGGTAGGGGTAGGGGAAGGGCCAGATAACCCTTCAAACGAAGATTTTTCGGGACCACACTACAAACAAAGGGGTATGAATTATCTCAGTGTAAACCGGCTTCAGCGGCAACATGGCTGCCCGAGCGAACAAAAAGACACATAAATGTAAGCATTTTTGGCATTAATAAAGATTTTAATAAAAAGTAATAATGTCTGTGCGTTTCTCTTTTTAGAGTGAGTTTACTTCAAAAACAGCGATTTTATCCTCTCGTTGCTGGAAAATATTAATAAAAGTCGTGGGGCAGCGTTGACAAGTTTCTTTGCTCTTGGATGTGTGAGCTGCGTAATATCTGATGTGTGTGTGTGTGTGTGTCAGTAAGCAGTACATTAATATAGAACGGTAATTAAAGGCTATAATGCACACCAGCACACCAGTATAGATGTGCGTATTGTAGGAGCTAGACGACGTATGATGATGTGTGACATATAGTAGTGGTGTCCCAATTCTTAGGGGAATATTTTCACCCCTACCCCTTGACACTTCAAGGGACAAGGGGAAGGGGTAGGCGGAGGGGTAGGGGAAGGGGTATAAAATAGAATTGGTATTGGGCCTTAGTCTGCAGGGCTTGAATGGCAGACTGAGATCCGCTCCCAGCATGGCCGAAGAAGTGTGTGGCGATGGTCTCTTAAAAAGGGGGGCATGTGCACATACCCGTAGGGCTTCTGCCCCATCCATGTGTGAGAACAGAGACTGCGTAGGAGCATCGACACACCGATTGGGGTGCAAACCACGACTCCACCACGTGCTCATGCACGTCTGAGAAGAACAGCATCTTCCTACTTGATGCAGCTTGGCGGTGGCCTGAATGGAAATACCAGGAGTCGAGCTTACTCCTGGCAGGTTCATCCAGAGCCTCCCAGCTCAGGTCGAGCTCCTTTACCACCTTGGCAAAGACCCTGACGAGCTCCCCATGTAGGTCCGCAGGGCCCTCGGTGTCGGGGAGATCCAGCTCCGACACAGGTGTGTCGAAACAGTTGTCCACGAAGAGGGCTGGGGAAGGGGACGTTGGCGAGGGAGGGGGGGGGTTCACCAGCGGCTCGCAGGTGGCAGTGGGCCTCGTCCCCGTCAAGCCACGAGCTAGGTCTCTCCTTGCTCGTAGGATACGGACTGGCAGGTCAGCGCAGCAAAGGCTGCCTCAGCGTGGGCCAGGCCCAGGCAGGCGACACAGTGCATAATGGGTATCCACCGGGCTAATGGGGCCCGCGCAAATCCCACAGTAGGAAGTTTACTTTTATTTTTTTCTTCAGGGTAATTCCACTTGACTAAGTCAGTGAAGTGAAGGAGAAGATTCTGACGCAATTACAGCTCTCGCCACATTTATACTGTTCGCCAAGCCTGTCAGTATTTGCATGCGATTTGCATAGATGAGTGTCAATTGGCCAGTTTATTGAACTGGCGTTATGCTAAAACTTCAAGATTTCGGGGAAGGGGAGGAGTTCCCACATGCGATTCTCATAATGTAGAGTGAACGCTCAATAGGGAACCTCTTTTTCTTAGGCTAGTTAACTTATGATCACGTTTCCCTCATTCCTGTGTTGAGCGCCACCTTGAGGAGTCATGAAGTAGCAACGCTGGAAGCAGGTAAATCTATTTAGAGAGTCTCATTTTATTAATTAAAATATCGATATTTGGCACCAGCATATTGATTCTCGTATCACATGAAGAAGGACAACTATATATTGCCATATCGTTGCATATTTTTGTCCCACCCCTAATCAGAACATAAAGAAAGATTAATAGAAGACAGAACAGATCGGCAGATAACATGGACCTCTACATATCTGATATGTGAGGATTTATGAGCACAGTTTGGTGTTATTTATGCCAAACAGATGGTCTTACTGCAATGTCAAGTAAACCAGCATTGGCAGTGGAATTGAGAACACTCCTCTTGGGACTATACGCTTACACAAACATGTCCTCCGACTGAAGTCAAGTACAGATGACTCCACTGTTTGACAAAACTGATGTTTTTATAAATCAAAAAAAAAAAAAAATGCCAGCAAAGAAGTTGCTTCAAGGTTATATATTTTTACTCCCTTTGGTGCTCTTTGGAGGGATAGCAGAAACACAACATCCACGAGACTCAAGGGCAGGGGCGTAGATTATGCGGGGGACGCGGGGGACGCGGGGGACGTGCCCCCCCCCCCACACTTTTAATATCACGTAAATTCGTCCCCCGCACTTTTTCGGGCAAGTGTGTTCGCATAGAGGTTTTCAAGAGCTGGTGTGAATAAATATAGATTTAAATTCAAAGAGACAGTATAGTCTGTGCATGATCTGATGTTTTATTCGGACCCAGATTAAGACGAGATTAACATCGCGGAGCGCTAAACACTCATTGATAAAAAAAAAGTGTTTGTAGTATATAAACAAATCGTTATTATTGGTTATTGTCCAGCAGTTATCTGATTTCTAAGCCAATTAAAAGCTAGAAATTAGAGAAAAATTAAAGTTGCTTATGCACTACCAGTCAAAAGTTTTTGAAAAGTAAGATTTTTTATGTTTTTTAAAGAAGTCTCTTCTGTTCACCAAGCCTGCATTTATTTGATCCAAAGTACAGCAAAACAGTAACATTTTGAAATATCTTTGCTAGGCTATTTAAAATAACTTTTCTATTTGAATATATTTTAAAATGTAATTGTATATATATATATATATATATATATGTAACATTTCTGTCCCCCTCACTTCTGAAATGATGGCTACGCCCCTGCTCAAGGGGTTTCATATTAAAAAGCCTTTCATAAATGAAATATATTAAAAACAACAATCAATGCATTGTGGCGGATTGAAGAGTGTGTCTCAAAGTGTGGATTGCAACACCGTAATCTTAAAATAATAATAATAAATAATAAATAAACTTTTTCAGTTGTGATATCCCTTTACAATTTGGTATCCCATCAGTCCACATATAGGTTTCTTGTTCATTTAAATACAAGTTAATGCCATGTATATCAAAGAAAGACATTGCTAGACTGAGAGAGAGACAGAGAGGGAGAATGAGAGAGTGAGCAAGTGAGCTGCTTGATTGTTTTATTTCTGTCAAATTAATCTATCATCCAGACATTTACCACCTTTCAATTCAGATTTAATCATAAAACTAATTCTGTGATACATTACACACCTTTTTGAGCTACAAGCCTCTGGCCTGTCAGCGCAAAAGCAAATGCATTCCTTGTGCTGTCCTTATTATTTCTTTCTAC